GGGTTTAGCCTTTCAGTCCAGGGGCAAAAAAAGGGAATGCAGGGACATGTTCTTCGAGCTAGGAGGGGCAAACGTTCTCTCTATAGCCACGTGCTATACACCAACTTAGAACCACCTCACCGGCGATTCCCGAAGCCCTGCACCCTACCGTAAGAAGTTTGAGAAGCCGCATCGCCCACCTGAAGACTTCGCGTGAATTGTGGTGATAGCCCAAGGGGGTCCAGCCCTTCTGTAAGACTGAAACACCCATGGCCACAACGAGCCCTGAATCCGGTGCCCCTTCCACATGAGACCTGCCCCACTCTTTACGCACAAGGAGTTCGCGTGCTTTCGAGGCTTTAGGAAGTATGGTTTTTTTTTCTCGACATGCCTGGTACTTAGATGTTTTCCTACCGTCGGCGATCGACTTTTGTGAGCTGTGTTGTTCTTTGCATTTCGGGTAGAGAGGTGTTCGGTTAGGCTCAGGGTTCCTGGTTAGGACTCAAAAGGGTTTCAGGTTTAAGGTCCTAAACCCTAGACCCTAAACCCTAAAACCTTTCTACACTCCGCCCCTTCGAAGGTTTCGGGCAGCAGGCCCCGAGGACGAGGGGCTGATCGAAGAATGCTAGGCCGGGAGTGCTCTCTTGCCTCGTTGGGGGGGGGGGGGGGGGGGGGGAGGGGGATCCCAACGCACCCCACAAGCCCTGTAAAACCCTAAGCCCTGAACCCTAAACCATAGCCCTAAAACCTAGACCCTGCTTTGTCTGTGGTTGCTTTGAAACTTCGGCAGTTGCACCGCGTGTTTTTCCGGGGCTCGAGGCCCTGGAGACCGCCCAACATCCTGGATTGTTGGCTTCGTGGTCGAGTTCGTAGAATTTTAGGATAGGGTTTAGGGTTAGTATCTTACGACGATGTCTTTTTCTTTGTCCTGGGGTGGAGGGGGGAGGGTCGGGTCGCCTGAACCCTGCCTGAGCCTTACAAACCCAAAACCCAAAGGTTATCCTTTAGCTACCTTTGGTGCATGGCTGGAGAGTGTCTGGGCTTTAGTACTCAATAACCTCAACCCTGTTTAGGGTTTAGGGTTTAGGGTTTAGGGTTTAACCCCTAAGCCCCTTTCTCATGGGCCCGGGTTCAATTGTCTTCAAGTAGACCTATTAATTCCCAAAACCTCATCTCTCCGCTGGAGGACTTCGCTTTGAAGGTTTCTAAACCCTAAACCCTAAACCCTAAACCCTAAACCCTAAACCCTAAACCCTAAACCCTAAACCCGAAACCCTAAACGGGTTTAAAGAGCCTTATGGGCTGAATCTCCGGTGCCCTGCGCAGGATGGCTAGGCAGGGAGGTCTACAGGCCCGAGAGATTTCCGAAGAGGCCTGGGACATTACGTCCGCTCCGCTTCGGTTGGGGTTTCGGGTTGAGGTTTAGGGGTTTCAGCTTAGTGTAGGCTTGTGCGAGTGCTGGAAAGCGATGGGCAGAAGATGCAGCTTAAGCGTTGAAAGTCAAAATATGGTCCCTTTTGGGGTCCCTTATTATGGGGCGGCCCCTCTTGTTTAGGTTAATTACCAAAAACAAGGGACCTTAATTTAGAGAACTGACCAGTTGATGCTGAGGGTCAACTCTGCTTGCCCGAGGCCTCGAGTGGCTACATAGGCTGGACACCTTCACCGCGCTTGTACACACGGCTCTGCCTCCTGCGCCATCTGGAATTCCCCTATGGGCTCTGCAAGCATGCACCGTACTGCAGTCCTAAAGCGGTGTTGGACCTGGCTTTGGTATCATGTTGGCAGCTTTTGGGCCGCACTTTGCACGCACCATGCTACAGGCAACATTTACCTGAAAATCCTAAGACGCGGACCGTTTTTCAGCAGTGCAGTCGCAGTCTCGAGCACGTTTGCTTACACAACCCGAGGAAGGTCGTGTTAATGCAGCAAGAGAAGTCCAGGTTTCGGGAAAACGTAATCGTGCAGGCTTGCTGTGCATACAATTTGTCGGCTTTGAACGTTAGGCTGGCCGCCCTGAACCCCTAAACCCTAAACCCTAAGCCCTAAGCCCTAAACCCTAAACCCTAAACCCTAAACCCTCCAAATTTAACCCCAAACCCTCAGCCCTCCTAAACCCTATCGCCCAACCCCGGGATCAACTCTTGGGGATCCTGGGCCAAGTTTTCACAAAACTCACAAAGCCCTCTAGAGTGGTGGTTCAGGGTTTAGGGTTTAGGGTTTCAGGCTTAGGGTTAGGCCAGGGTGCGAGACGGTTTAGAGGTGAGCAAAAGCCCTAAGACCTAAGCCCTAAGCCCTAAGCCCTAAACCCCTAAACCCTAAACCCTAAGCCCTTGCAGCTTCGATTGACTGGTACAGAGCCTGCCTTCTGGTCAGCCTGAGTCAGTTCACTGTGAGAGAAGCAGGTCTGGGGTTGCAACTGCTGGCTCCTCCCCTCGAGCGCTCAGTAGCACTCTCTTAGGGTTTAGGGTTTAGGGTTTAGGGTTTAGGGTTAGGTTCCTTTGTACTGGACAACTTAGAGCACACCATGGAGTTAAGGGGCTTGAGAGCTTCTACCTGAGTGTTCAGGTGAGGCCCTTGTCGCCTGTGCGGCGCACTGTTTGTGGCCTGAGACGCTCCTAGCCACTCGTGAGCTCCCCCGAATCGGCAAGCAGAGGCAGGAATTAGCCCTGCCTGGCCACGTTGCCCTCGGCGTGTATCCCCGAGAATATGTAGTTACAAGAGTTTAGCATAAGTACATGAACCGTTGCTCTTAAACCCTAGGCCCTAGGCCCCTCAATGCCTTGCACCCCATGCCACCCTCGCCAAACCCCAAACCCTAAACCCCAAACTCTATACACCCTGCACCCTATACCCTATACACCCTAAACCCGACACCTCCTTCGGCGGAATTGCCGAAGTTGAGCACAATCAATCGGCGTCTGACCCATCAAGCGGAGCCGACAAAAAGACGCCTGTGCTGATCAGGCCTTGTGAATGAAGGGCAAGACGCAAAAACTAAACCCTAAACCCTGGGCTGTTGAGGTTATCATTGTGTATCTTCGGAACTCATTGACAGAGAAGAGCCTGAGATATACACGGTCATACATGTAAGGTCTTTTGGATTCTGACCCGAGCCTTCAAATTTGGATGTTAACTTGACGCTGTCCTGAATTCCCGCTTCAAGAAGTACTCCAGCGGGGCTCAGCAAAGACACGAAGTAGCCCTCACTTGCAAAGCTTGAACTTAAAAACCCTAAACCACGGCCGTAAGCGAGGTTGTGAAGCTCTTGGTGCAGTTCTTTCGGGTCAACGACTCCGACAAGAAGCTCACCGTGCCCTTGCCGGCTTAGTTGTTGTGAATGAGGACCCTGAGTACTGCCACTAGGCTGTGGGTTTAGGGTTACAGAGTTTTGGCTGAAATTATAGCGTCCGGCAAAAACCGAGTCCCGAGTAGTTCGAGTATTGTGGTTGTCTCTGCGAAGTAGGCTTAGGTTCCCTTCCCAGCCGGCGCCCTTCTGATTCCGAGGTTACTCTTGGGTCGAGTTTACACATAAGTCACTACTACCCCAAACCGATTCTAGAGTAGTTGCTGCCGGGCTTGAGATTTTTGTCAAAAGCCAGCTCCATCTCGGCGCCTTGCACTGTCTGGCATATGCAAAACAGACAAGCCTTTAGCCCATCCGGCAGATTCCATCAAATCAACTGCGAGGGTGTCAGAGGATCACAAAGCCCTTAAAGGCTCTTGTCAGACCGTTTGGTTCTTCCGAGGGCGAATTTCCCGAACAAGAAGGCTGAGCCCTAAACAGCAGAAACCCTAAAGCCTAAAACCGAGGTGGGCATCATCTCGCCATACAAGGGGCAGGCCTCTTCACTGCAGGAAAGCACGTGAGATCAGCACTGCTCGGGTTTCCAAGAGCTTAGGGTGAAGTAAGAGAATGGCATGACAAGAGGCGCATATCGCTTATCTTGAGGTGACTCAGTGGACAGTGCCGTAGTCGTTTGAGCACGCTTCATTCTTCCTGACAAAAAAAAGATGGATTGGCTCATTCACTTTCCACCATGCGCCCCAAGTCGCTCGATATCAGAACCCTAAACACCCTATATCCTCTGACAGTAAACCCTAACGGTCTAGGTACGCATGAGGTCCTTGCTTAAGCGGGTCACGGAGCACCCACCAGGTCAAACTGATCGAAGACCTCATTAAGGGTGTCAGCAGCACGGCCACTGTGAGGCAGAGGTTTATGGGGTTTGGGGGGTTTCTGTGCTTTTGCAGGGCTTTATGAGTCTTTGCCTTGTAGCACTCTGCGTACGCACGCTGTGGTTCGTGGCGCTTCTACTCCTCAGCCTACGGGCTAGATGTGCATAGCCCGAGCTTCGAAAAGGGCTGCCTGTCAGTACTTGTACAGCAGCTCGTTCAGGATACGTGGGTTGCCTCGGTTGTCACTTCTCTTTGTCTTTAGAGTCGCGAGCGTCGCGGAGGCTTTTTCCTTTGGGTTGTTGGTCGTATCTTAGTAGTCGAGTAGGAAACTTTTAAGCCTTTTTTGGGTACTACAATCCCCATATAATCTCAAATGTTAACCTTTGGTTCCGCTGGGATACTGGACAACTAAGGCTTAATAGCTGAGTGAGTACACTTTACACTTTTTGGGATACTATGACCCCCTATAGAGAACTGAAAGTGTGCACTTTTTTGGGGCTTATGAACCCAGCAACCGAGAAGGTAAAGGCTTCTTCAGAGTGTGGCTTCGCAGTCCAACCCATCCCTCAATCCAGCGTCTTGCGAGAACTTCCGATGGCTGCAGCAGGGTTTCGGGTATAGGGTTTAGGGTTTATTTAGGCTTTAGGGTTTAGGGTTTAGCGTTTATTTGGGGTTTAGGTTTTAGTCTTTAGTGTTTAGGGTTTAGGATTTAGGGATGATGTCACAGGGGAAAGGCACGTCGATGGCTCACACTTTGTGCTCAGTGCTCAGGGACTTGGTGTGGGGGGGACTGGGTTTGTCGTGTTCCTTGCAGGGTAAGATGTGGCAGTACAGCACAAGGCATGGCAAAGACACGGTTCGCGGGCTTTGGGCAGAAAAAAACCCGTAACCCCAAAAACACCCAACACACACAAAACCTTGAACAGAAATGAAGTCGCTTTACCTCCGAGGTTCAAAGCCGCAAGTTGCAGAGTCGGGTAAAGCTCGTCGCCCCGCCAGGTTTGTCAAACCCCGGGTTTGGGGTTTGGGGTTTAACGCTACACCCTAAACCCTAAACTTCGTGACCTACCAACCGATGCCCTGCCGGCCTTGTGCGAGTGTGAGAGTCGAAACCCTAAACTCAAGGGTTTAGGGCTTGAGGCTTAGGATCCCCCTAAAGGGGCTTTAGGCCTTGGGCAGAGGGTGTTCAACGGTTGGGGGCCCTGCTGTTTCGGCTCGCTTGTTCAGACTGGTTGCCTTTCCTGGTTTGGGGTTTAGGGTTTAGGGGTTTAGGAGCTTTTCCGGGCGAGACTACGCAAGCCTGATGCAAAATTGTGTTTGGGAGCTCGGCACCTCAAATCGCCTGAAACCCTAAACCCTAGAATCTTGACGGGTGGCAACAATCCTTCGGTGCCTTCAGGGTTACCGGTTTTCGGTCCAGCGCGACTAGAAGGTGAAATTCGAAGGTTTCCGACGCACACCATATGATATCCTAATAATTTCGAAGAGATTTAACAAACAGTATAAACACAGTGTCGTAATTTTGTGCTAGGCATAAGTAGTTAAGAATGGCAACCGTTGTAAACATACTGGTAGCTAGTCGTTGCATAATTACGCAGGGAGGTACATGCCTCGAATGCACCAGTGACCCCTGAACAGTCCCCTAGCCAACATCCTCCCCTAAACCCCGAACCCAAAACCCAAAACCCTGCTCTGGGCCCGCCAGATCAAAACCGTCGACGGCTTCCAGGGAAACGAGCAAGACATCATTGTCATCAGCACCTTCGCACTAAGAAGCCCATCAATCCCCATCAGTTGGGATGTTCCTCCTTATACTAACAGTCCTGAACAGGGATGATAGTACCTCCTAGTATACCTCCTAGTATAATCCCTGGTAAGGGCTGTCTGTGAGTATATGGGGGAACATCCCAACCCATCAGGCCTAAAAGGATAGATCTCTCCTCTTCTTAGGTTACCCTGCAAGGCAAGAAGCGTATAAGGGCTCAAAACAGAACCGTGCAAGGGCTCACGGCAGAACCGTATAATGACTCAAAACAATCAAGGGCGCGTACCCTTTCAGTTGTGTTAGCCCCTCAGAGCCAACCTTTCCCTATTGTAGAGGAGGCCCTTCTTCCCTTTTTTATAGTATTAGGGTTTAGGGTTTAGGGTTTAGGGTTTAGGGTTTAGGGTTTAGGGTTTAGGGTTTAGGGTTTAGGGTTTAGGGTTTAGGGTAGGGTTTACGTCTCCTGGCTCTAGTGTTTATCCCTTACTTTCCCTGGAACCTCATGCCGGCCCCCTCGGAACCTTCACCTGCGCTACCTTCCCCCAGGCCAATGTGTGCCTCAACAACTCCAAAGTCCAAAGTCTTGGGGCTTGTATGATTTTAGGTTTTAGAGAGGTCAGGGAGGGTTGAGCAGACCTGGTTGTAAAAAAGAGGAGAGGGTTCTATGGAGCTACGCTCAGCTTTTGTTTGAGGGCTTTGGCTTTGGGATGCTTTCTATGATCCCGGCACGTTGGGACTCACGTGTCCTGCTTAGAGGGTTGCCGGCAGAATCCGGCAAAACCCATTTCAAGACCCTAAAGCAGTGGGTAGCAGCTTGTGAACGATCCCTCCCCCCCCATGGTATGCCCCCCTTTGTGGCGATCGAGCTTTGGGATTAAGGGCCTTAGGCTTAAGGTCTTTAGGGTTGTTGTAGGGGTGGGGGGGGGGGGGGGGGAATACCATGAGGGTAGGGTGGGCTGGCGAGCTGCGAGCCGTGATCATACATCTATGGCAGGGTTGCTCTATACTCTCAGGCACGGTACGCTCGAACGACAATGGCAACATTGGCTTCGTGAAGGACCATCGTCGCTTGAATGCTCGCAACTCAGGACGTCGGTGAAATTCAGACTTAAGCCAGAACTTGGCTGGGGGTCGGTGGAGTAGAGTACCCTAAACCCTAAACCGCATTGATGCTGGGCCATAGTTGTAGGCTCTTTGGCTGTTTGACTAGGCGAGTGTTCGGGGCACTTTGGGAGGAGGTGGCAAGTTGCCGTGCATATAAGAGTAGCTCAAGCCGCATCCCCATGGTTAGCTGCTGTTTGCGTATGAACCCCCCCAAAAAAGCAAATAAAGCAACAAAAACCGTCGGGCTGATTATCTTTTTCTTGTTTTCGGGGTTCATCCGGAAGCAAATAGTAGTTATCATCCGGCCTGTCTAGGGGTGTGAGTTGCTCCCTACGCTCTTTTCGAACCTGCTGGGACCTGCTGGGCCATGGGGCTTCATTGAGTCTATTCAAGTTTGTTTTTTTCCGTTTCAGGGTCATGTCTTAAGGGCCTTGGTATGCATCATGCCACAGGCAGGGCATGCAGCAACTTTATCATGTGAGAAGCAGCCTTTACCACCTCATCTGTCATGAGCGGCCTGAACACATCGTCTTCCAGCTACGCGCATGTACTGGTGTATGGCCCAGGGAATACCATCCCAACATGGACCCTGATTTGCATTTGGAAAGCTCGCTGCATGACGGAGGTTGCCATTACGCGAGCGCGGTTCCGCTTGTGGGTGATCGGGAACATGCAGACACTGGCCAGAGGGGACGAAGTGCCCCCCAGCTGTGTCCATTTTGGCCTTATAAGCCTGTAACTCGCAGTAGGTGCACCGAGCCTGCACTATTTTCTTTTAATGTTTTGGATTCTTGAGTTGTGGGAGTAAAATTCCAGGTACTTGTCTCAGCATGCTGAGACTTGCGTCATCAGCCTTCCTTTCCAATGTCGAACTGTAGACATTCCGGGAAAGTTTCCTCTATTTTGTGGCAAACTGTAACTGTTCCTGGATCTGGGCGTGCCAACCAGGACTTGGGGGTGAAAAGGCTTTAGGGGGTTTGGGGTTTAGAGTTTAGGGTTTAGGATTTGGGGGTTGAATGGATATCAGTGGCTCCAACAGGGAAGTCTAGCCAGCCGAAACACACTGCCTGTGCTTTAGGCTTCAGAGTTTCGATTTTACACTTGGACCCGGAGTAGGCCCTTGCTCCCCCTTTTTGTTAGGGTCATATTCCCTTACAAGCCCCTTTAAACCAAAAAGGCTACCCGCTGGATTCCTAGGCTACTCCTGGGTCTAGCTTATGGAGCTTAGGGTTGAGGTTTTTGCGGCTTAGGGATCCGGGCATGTTTTATCAAACATGCACCTGTGCTCACCATATTCCGACACAACCCGAGGTGGAAACAGTTCATTGACTTCTACAAGTGGCGCAAGTGCCTGCAGGCTTCCAGTGCGTTCTAGCCCCACTCCCGGCCATTACACACACAATAACAATAAGTAATAGCCATAAGATTTAAGCAACAAATAAACGAAAGAATAATCATAAAGTGAAAGTAAAAACATAGGTGCCTCGGTGATGCCTTCTTTCCTTGTTGTTTCCTTTGGTAGACCTCCAGACAACAAGATAAGTGTAAGCTTTCGGCTCCTTTGGCAATGAGAAGATTCAGGGGTATAAGGCCCCTAGAAGGGACCCTTACTCTGATTCCCCTATATAACCCCTATATATATGTATATATATATATATAGATATATATATATATATACCTTAGATCGTCCCTATATACCTAAGTAGCCCCAAGGTCCCTTGGGTTCAGGGTTTAGGGTAGGAAGGGTCCCTCCTCCAGTCCCTTAAGTAGACCCCAAAACACCCTAAACTCCAATGGACGCACATCGCACCTGGGCTTTGCTGGAGCCCCTGTCCCGCGTGCCTCTTGCCCAAGCCTTGGGAATTGAGGGTTTCGTGTTTTAGGGTTTAGGGTTTGGGGTCGGAGGTTTTGGTGTTCTTGGAGTTTGGCTTCAGGGCACCCGCTAAAACCCCTAAACTCTAAGCCTAAACCCCTCTACTATACATCAAAGCTTTAAGAGATGTAGGCTGGGATGTTGCCCCTTATACTAGCAGTCCGGAGAAGGGATTATAGTACCCCCTATTAAAATTTCTATTAAGGACTGTTAGCATAAGGGGGAACATTCCAAGATGTAGGGTTGAGAGCACCGAGCCCTAAACCCTAAACCCTGAACCCTGAACCCTAAACCCTAAACCCCAACCCCTAAACCCTAAACCCTAAACCCTAAACCCTAAACCCTCCATACGTCAAAGCCTTTCAAGAGATGTAGGGTTTGAGAAGCGCCATGCAGGCCATCCCGACCGCCACCTCCGACCTGGAGCGACGAGTTGACCAAGTGGCGCCTTGGCGCTGCAGACTCTTGGGGGTTTAGGGTTTAGGGTTTAGGGTTTAGGGTTTAGGGTTTAGGGTTTAGGGTTTAGGGCACACTTTTTGGTTTTGGGGTAGGGCTATAGGGTTTAGGGTTTAGGGCTATAGGGTTTTAGGGTTTAGGGTTTTAGGGTTGAGGGTTTAGGGTTTTAGGGTTTAGGGTTTAGGGTTTTAGGGTTTTAGGGTTTTAGGGTTTAGGGTTTAGGGTTCAAAAAGGGTTTGGCGCGGAGCCGGGCTTCCCAGTGCTTGTTATGTTACAGGGTGCTTGGTCATTGGCTGACAGAAGCTCAGCGTGACGGAGCAGAGTTCCGAAGCATTCGTCCCCACCATGCCTCGAAACCGAAAAATGCCCTACACCCTGAACCTCTATTGGGGTTTAGGGTTTAGGGTTTCGAAGTCAGCTGTCGGCTTCCGGCTTCCAGGACAACTTCAAGTTACACAGAGCCCTCGCACTTTCAGTTCAGAGGGGCCTGCTAGTACAAAATCACCCTTTTGCCTCTTTTTTGTTGGTGCTAGGTTCACGCATAATTTATAAAGTAACCAACCCAAAACAGGGTCGCTAGTACAAAATCACCCTTTTGCCCCTTTTTTTGGTTCTAGGTTCACGTCTAGCTTATAAAGCAACCAACCCCAAAAAAGGGTACCCGTAGTGTGGACTATGGTTACTGGGCTGCCAAAAGGGTGTTCAACCCCCCAGACCCAGAAATGGGTTTTTGAACCCTAAACCCTAGACCCTAAACCCTAAACCCTAAACCCCAAACCATGCAGCCTTGGTAGCCCAGGTGGCGACCAAGAAGTCTCAGAAGGTGCCGCGGCGAAACCCTAGACCCTGAACAGGTTTCGGCTTTTAGGGTTTAGGGTTTAAGGGTTTTAGGGTTTCCGGTTTTAGGGTTTGAGGGTTTTAGGTTTTTAGGATTTTAGGGTTTTAGGGTTTTAGGGGTTTAGGGTTTAGGGTTTAGGGGTTAAGGGTTTTTATTATGGGTTTTTGGATTTTGGGTTTGGGTTTTGGGGTTTCGGAAAAGACTTTCGAGTAGCAGGGCCGTCTTCACGTTGGCAAAGAGTCAAAGATCTGCGGCCTTGCAGAGAACCGCCCAGTGGAGCCAGTCTTCCCGATAAACCCTAAACCTAAACCCTAGACCCTAAACCCTAAACCCTAAACCCTAGCCCCTCCGAGGTCCTGAAAAGAGGACCTTGTCTTGGCCCTGCCTTGTCTGAGCTCCTTAGAACGACTTCTTGGCCTGGCCTCAATTCTTCTTAGTAGCTGAATGAGTACACTTTCCACTTTACACCGTTTTGGGATACCACAATCCCCTGTAAAACTGATAAGGTGTGCACTTTCTTTGGGTCTTTTGAACTCAGAAAGCCCTAAACCCTAAACCCTAACCCTAAAAACCGTACCCTAAACCCTAAACGCCCTACGCCGACTTCAGTCTTAGGACGCCTTAGGGGTTCAAGGCTCTGTGCCTTCGAAGCCTTCAGCCCTGCAGTCAGTCTGCTAACCTTAAAAAAGCAACCCTAAGCTAGGGTTTAGGTTTTAGGGTGTAGGGTTTAGGGTTTATATAGGGAAAAAATGCAAAGCCCTCAGCCGGATTTGCTCTTTCCTTTGAGGTCGTGGTCCCGACGCCAGCCCCGCCTTCGCAACTCGACCATCTTAGATTCAGGCTTAGGGTTTAGGTTTTAGGGTTTGAGGCACTTGAGAGAGACCTTTTCAAAAAGGGTTTTCGGTTTAGGGTTTAGGGTAAGGAAGAGCATCTCAGTACTTTTTTTTCAGTCGCGAGTGATGAATGGGCAACTCGTATTCAGGCGTTGGTGTAGTCATGCACCTTGAACTGACACGAGTGCGCAACACGGTGAGTGAAAGCCCGTTGCAAAAAGGGCAACGCAAAGAATTCGTCATAATACCTTGCAGTATGTAACCTGATAATGGTAGAGAGGGGTGAAGGTATTGTTGATGGTCGAGGGCTTGTGTTGAAAAATCAACCCTAAACTTGGGATGTTCTCCCTTCCCCCCCCCCCCCCCCCCATTACAATGCCTATTGAGGGCTGTTAGTATAAGGGGGAACATCCCTAAACCCTAAACCCTGAACCCTGAACCCTAAACCCTGAACCTTAAAAATGTTGAAGACCTGTGGGGGCGCCCGAGCAAACGCAGGGCCGACGCCGGCGCAAGCTCCAGCAGCAAAACCTCAAGGACGCCAGCTTTGGGTTTAGGGTTTAGGGTTTAGGGTTTAGGGTTTAGGGTTTAGGGTTTAGGGTTTAGGGTTAGGGTTTAGTGTTTAGGGTTTAGGGTTTAGGGTTTAGGGTTTAGGGTTTAGGACTAAACGAATAGGGCTCCATTATGCCCCTGTTTGTTCTTCAATCGGCACCCTAAACCCCAAACCCCAAACCCTATAGACTCTAAACCCTAAACACGCGGCTTTACTGTAACAGGGTTCAAGTAGGGTCATGATTAAGAGAACTGACCACGCCCTGAGGTTGCTTAAGGCTAAAGCCTGTGGTTGTGTCGAGGCAGGTCCGGGTCGATCTTTTTGCTCCCTCTCAGTGCCTGGTGATTCGTCGGTTTTCCCTGCGGAGTGGTACGTCGGCAGCAGACGGGCGGAAAAATTATCTCCTAAAAGCACTAAGCCCTAAACCCTGAACCCTATACCCTATACCATAAACCCTAAATCCCTAAACCTGACCACATGGCAGCCCGACCCTTGCGTCTAAAACCCTCCCAGGCCCCATAAACAAAGCGACAATAACCATAAACGCCACTCGCGACCTCAAGCGACTCTCAGTACGGAGTTGGCCGAATTCGGAGGGTTTGGGGAAGTTTCTTTTAGGGTTTGGGGTCTGGGGAAATTTGTTCCCCTAATATTCCCCTGGAGGCTATATAGTTGGGGTTGTGAATAGGGACCTGATAATGTTAAGGTTCCATGTACCTATCTATACTGGGGAACTCAAGCTACTACACAGGATCCCCTGTAAGAACCAAGTATGTACTATTCAGGCACGCGGGCACGAAGGGTTCCCTGGTTCCGTTTCAAGATCCGCAATGCCACAGGGCCGTCGCCTCCCACCGGCCCATTGTGGGGCCGGAACAGCCGACCTACGTTGCCTCCGCAGTGGCTTGCCGGTCCTTTGTTTTTCCAGCGCATGTCGTGAAGAAGTGGCCCTGACCCCTAAACCCAGGCTCCCGATTTCCGAAAGCAACTTGAGGACTTGGGGCCGCTTGGGGTTTAGGGTTTGGGGTTTAGGGTTTAGGGTTTCGGTTTTAGGTTTTAGGGCTTTAGGGTTTAGGGCTTTTGGTTGGGTTTGGGGATGAGGGAGGGGCTAGGGTTAGGGGCGTAGATCCAGATTTCTGCAGCCGAGCAGGACTTCCTGTTTAACAACTGCGCTTGAGGGTTTAGGGCTTCAGAGAACCCGGGTGCAAGAGGGCTTTTGGGCTGACGGGGTTATGACTGCTGACCCTAAACCCCAAACCCCAAACCCCCAAACCCCAAAACCCCCAAACCCTACCTAAACCCTACCTAAACCCTAAGGCTTGTGCGATGCCCTGGTCTGAGCACCCGACTTGCGCCCCCGCCCAGGTGCGGCGTGCCCTCTCAAGCAAGGACGGCCAGCGCTGGCGCCTGGGCGCCAACCAACCTTATAGTACTTCTTAGTAGGGGGAATTGGGGAAAGAGGTCGCTTAAGAATATCACCCAGAACCTTAAACAAAAAGACTCTAAACCCTGGGTACACGCAGAGCCAGAAAGTTGAGGGAGCCTCCAGCCCTGAGGCACGGGGTACTTTGGTGGGGAGGGCCGCGCTGTGGACCACCGAACTCTAGAACCAACCCATCAACCCCACACCCCAAAACCTGAGCGCCCCCCCCCCCCCCCCCCCACCTCCCAAAAAAAAAAGAAAGCAAGAAGTTCCTGTCAAGCCCGAAGCAGTCAGACTGTGGCGTGCTGCTTGCACAACACCTCATACACTTAACCCTATAAGCCCTAAACCCTGAACCTTAAACCTAGCCGCCCATTCGAGGCCAGAAACTCCCAGGATTTGACATCCTGACCCCGAGGCCCTAAGCCCCAAACCCCCGAGGCCCAAAACCACAAAGACTGGTCCCCTTCGGAGTGGGCCCCAGTGGTCCACAGTTCGGATGGTAAACCCTAAGCCCCAAACCCGAAACCCGAAACCCTAAACCCTAAACCCTAAACCCTAAACCCTAAACCTACCATCCCCAGGGACTCCCACTTCATGCAGCAGCTTGTGAACACCATCTCAGGGCTCTTCGGCTGCAATCGGTTGCAAACCCGGCCGTCGCAAGCATCTCAAGGGAAGCTTAGGGTTTAGGGTTTAGGGTTTAGGGTTTGGGGTTTAGGGTTTAGGGTTTAGGGTTTGGGGTTTGGGGTTTAGGGTTTAGGGTTTAGGGTCTGGCTTGCCTTCAGTGGCAGAAAGGGTTTAGGGTCAAAAGTCGGAAAAGAAGCTATGGCTGCCCAGCACTCAACCTTCCCTTGTAGCGCTGCCTCCCTGTCCCGGCAAACCCTAAACCCTAAACCCTAAACCCTAAACCCTTAACCCTTAACCCTTAACCCTTAACCCTTAACCCTTAACCCTTAACCCTTAACCCTTAACCCTAACGAAAATTGGCGCAGGTTCTCAAAAGCTGAGCAACGAGCTGCGGCGGTGAAGAAGATCTCGCAGCTTCTCGTGCCTTAGCTGCCAGCTTAGACTTGAGAGGTTTAGGGTTTGGGGTTTAGGGTATAGGGAATAGGGTTTAGGGGCGGATTGAAGACGATGGTCTGAGTTGTGGTGCTGCAAGGTTCTCGGGTAATTGCAGAGATCATCTGCCTAAATCTAAGAATAGTTCACTATACCCCAAACACATACCCCTTGACCTCTAAAATGATACTTTAAGGAGGATGTTGCCATACCCCCTATTTCTCGTAAGGGGTACGCCCAAGGGGATGTTGACTATTTCTTAGAGAAAATATGCCTGGAGTGGAATGCTATCAACGACCCCCAGGGCAGCAAGCCGAGTTGTTTTGGGATGGGTGGGTCTTTGGGCCTTCCAGGCAAACCCTAAATCTTAAGGTTAAGGGTTTAGGGTTTGCCGTTGAACAGGGTGTAGGGTGTAGGCGTTAGGGTTTCATCACGGTTTTTACAAGCATGTCAGCTTCAAGCAGGCGAGCCGCTTCCTTCAAAATTGCCCAAACCTCAGTCGAAGAATGTTCCATGGCCCTGAGAACCCGAAACCCCAAACCCTAAGCCCTGAACCTTCAACCCAAGAACCCAAAACCCCCTAGACTCAAAAACCCTGAACCCTGAACCCAATAGTTTCTTAGAGCTTTAATAGCCTCCTGAACTATGGAGGAGGGCCAAAGTCGGGTGTGGCCGACGCAGACCCGACGCTGGGTGGCATGCAGTACGTAAGTTTTGTTAGGGTTTAGGGTTTAGGGTTCAAGGAAAGCTGGGCAGTGTTTACAGCAGAGTTTTCTGAGTGGCAGACAGGTTGACGCATACTGGGGTGAGGAGGGAATCTTTTCGTGGTTGAAGCTTCCTGGCTTGCTGGGCGAGGTGTACCCGGCTTGTTCACTCTCATAGCCGTCATAGCCACCAAGGTGTGGACATAGAGGAAGCCAGAGACGACTAGACGGTGTTTTTTTTGGAGGTTACTCGTAGGAGGTTAGGGTCTAGAGCGAGCGTGAGGTCCAGTAACAAGGCTCACATGTCTGAATCTCTTCTTGGCTGGCGTGCGCGCGCGCGCTGTCTGTCTGTCTGCCTGTCTGCCTGTCTGTCTGTCTGTCTCTTCGTCTCTTCGTCCCTCTGTCTTTCTGTCTCTCTGTCTCTTTGTCTCTGTCTGTCTGTCTGTTTCTCTGTCTGTGTTTCTCTGTTTCTCTGTTTCTCTGTTTCTCTGTCTCTGTCTCTGTCTCTGTCTCTGTGTGTACGCTCAAGTGCATGCTTGCGGGAACCTGCTCACGGCTCCTTGTCAGTGAGTGCAAGAATATGTTTCAAGACCGTGCATGTTCTCAAGCCTTCCCCTACGAAGCCACAGGTTTGCGAGGTTGGTGTGGTATGTGACTTTAGGGTTTAGGGTTTAGGGTTTAGGGGCCTAAACCCTAAACCCTAAACCCTAAACCCGAAACCCTAAAGCGACTGCAGTGCTCCGCAGCAACAGCAGCAACGAACAAGCAGCCAACGCCTGCAACGTGTTGTTGTGGAAGGCCCCGCGTCGAGCCCTGAGGCTGAGCCATCCGAAGTCCGTACTAAGCCAATAGATGAACTGTCAACTTTTGGGCTTTTCTTATTTAGTAGGAATGCTAAGGTCTGACCTTCTTTTTTTCTGTGGTTATTGGAGAAGGAAGAGTAACAGTCTAGACTCGAAGACCGAGGGAAGAAGCTAAGGATATTTCGGCCAAAAGATCCCACTATGGAATCTGGCAGTCGACACTTGTCTGCACGTTTGATGCGCTTTCTCTCCGCTTCTGGCTGGTCGTCGAGCATGTTAGCTATGACAACAGCCATGTCATGAAAAAGCGCCCACGGCCCTTGAAGGCACTGTTTTCTTAGGACCTAGGCTCTCAGCACAACGTCATGGACTTGCAATCCATAGGCTACTCTTACTCCTCCCAGAACTCTAAACCCCATAAACCTGGAGTGCCTAGCAACCCCGGATTCCCTCCCACTGTTCCGGGCTTTGGGCTGTGGCGCCAGGGTTGTATCCAGTTGATCCATGGAGCAACTGCGATTTCAAGGCCTTGGACAGTGACTACCCTAAACCCTGAACCCTAAACAGGTCTTTCTTGGCCTGGAGGCTTGATACAGTAGCCCCCGGAAGCCCCCGCCCCGCTGAGCAACTCCCGCAGCGAGCCAAGGCCCACAAACCTTTCCTTGATCCTTTAACTCTCTGAGCCACCCGATGATCTGTGTTTGTTTGAGCTTTTCTTCTTTAGTAGTCATCATGAAGTTTAACTTGTTCATTATGGTTATTCCTTGGTTATTGGAGAAGTAAGTCTATGTGCTGTTTCGAGGTGCGCCCGTTTATGGAAAAAAAGGGCAGTGAAGTTGAACCTTTATTCCACGGCTCTTGGGAGAGAGAAGCGCCCGAGCCTCCAAGGAGGAGTTGCAAATCACCAACACAGCGGTCTTAGCACCCCGGTCTGAGAGCTTCACTTGAGGCTACCGGGGTGCACACCTATGGCAGTCAACACCCCCAAGCCCGAAGCGCAAGAGTAGATGGCTTAAGAAGTCGGCGGGCACGACTATACCTGAAGCCACAACCAGTGAGTCCCTCAAACCCCTACAGAGCGCTTCGGACCGCATCACCTTGTTGCTCTCTACAGAGTCCTACGGAGCCCTATGGAACCCTAGAATTTCACCTTATACAGCCGCCGATCCAACAGGGGGCAAACTGGAGCTTATGTGTTTGGTCAACTTGTTGGGTGCTTTGCTTTGTTATGCTAGTGGGGGGGGGAAGGTTCAGGTTTTGTGTTTTTTTGTTTTTGCTTCCAAGGTTCCGGGTGTAGAAGATTTTTTTTGATAGGTGGCTTGAAGGCTTCCTATGTGGATACTCAACCCTATACACAAGGAAGGGGGGAAACTGCAAAACGTCAGTTAGTTCCCCAGCTTGTGCCTGAAAATTGGGGTGTCCACAACATACGGGACGTCGTTTCACTCAACCTCCCTTGTTGAGCATTTTTAGGCGTCGGTTCACTAAACCCTAAGCTTTTCAAACTTAGGTTCCTGGAGACTCCTTTGCAGCTTATGTAGGGTTCAGGGTTGTAACGGGTCAAGATTTCGCGCCCCCAAAGTGCCACAGACTAGAGCATTATCTGCCGGAAGCTTGCTTTCGGTTTAGGGTTCAGAGTTCAGGTTTTATGGTTTAGACTTAAAGGGTTTAGAGAAAAGGCTTTTCAGAGTTTAGGGTGTGGACACAAGGGTTAGAAAAGAGTTTAGGGGCGTCTCAAATTCGGAGTCCGAAGCCGTAACACCCACAACCTGTTCCTAAGTCGTCTGAACCCTAAAGCTTAAACCCCAAACCCTTTGAACTCTGTGATCCCTAACCAAGCCGAAGACCCTTAAAGGGTCCAGGGTCCAGGGTCTAGGGTTTAGGGTTTAGTGTTAGGGGTAACCGGAAATTTGGCGTTGAGGTCTACTGGATCGAGCTGCATCCAAACCCGAGCGCCCCCAACCAGGCGCCAGCCGTAAGCTTGCCTTTAGGGTTTAGGGTTTAGGGCTTAGGGGTTCGGATTTAGGGTTTTGGGGTTTGGGGTTTGGGGTTTAGGGTTTAGGGTTTAGGGACAACTCACGGGTGGAGAGGAAAAGTGGATACAGACACTGCTTTCTGGGTGCTCTTAGGGAGTCTGACCAGTAAGACAAGAATTTCAGTTGTCTGTTGTGTTGTTCTCTTGCATGATATGGCTTACATCTAGGATGACTGCCCTAAACCGAAACTCCTCGGTCTCGGGTTACGGGCTCGGAGCCTCTTGGGGTTTAGGCTTTGGAGGGTCAGACCCTCTTCTTGGTAGCCCAGTGGTACCCTTTTCCCTCCTTTTGGTGATTTGTTCCCTTAATGTCGCTTCGACCGTTATTCCATCCTGGCAACAGCCCACCGCCGGCTCGATTTTATATGCCCTGACCGCATGATCTGCTGGGCCTTCCTCCTCCCCCTAGACCCTAAACCCTAAACTCTATCCAGGTTACTCAGACGGTCATACTCAACAACATCGTTCCTGGCGATGACAGGGCCAAGGCTAAAGACCGCAGCTTGGACGCAGTTGCAGTAGTGGCAGTGGTAGTTGGTAGTGGTGATAGTAGTAAGTACTAGTACTAGTAGTAGTAGTAGTAGTAGTAGTAGTAGTAGTAGTAGTAGTAGTAGTAGTAGTAGCAGCAGCAGCAGCAGCAGTGTAGTAGTGGCAGCAGTAGTACTGGTACTAGCAATCGTTGTAACATTAGGAAGCTACTACTATGAATCTAGAGGTTTATTTTCCTGGGGATCAAGCCTCTGCCAGCATTTCCCCATGCTTTTGTTCCCAGCACGCAAAGACTAGCTGGTCACTGCAGTTTGAGGGCTGAGGGTCTAGCTGAAAAGGAAAAAGTTGCTAAGCCCCGAAGTTTCAGCGAAGTAGGAGAGTATGGGCAAAGACTCATTGGCAGCATGTGCGTGCATCCCTCGATTTTCGGGACTAGAGTTGGGGGGCCTGCTGCGTGGTTGAGTATAGCCTCCTTAGCAATGCAGTTGTGTTTTGGGTACCCAAGCGCACGGGAAACTTTTCAAATTGTGCTCTGGTTCCACAGCAGCCTCGGATGCAGACCAAAACCCTTAACTTTTGCGTGTTGCACTGTGACTTGGTCAGACCCCAGGGCCTAAGCCTAAGCCGTAAGCCCGCAGCACAGTGGTAAAAGTGTGGTGAAATACAGGTACTGGATACTGGAGTGAAAGTGCGTGATCGACCCCCTGAAGACTCGAACCGATCTCCTGCCAACCCTTGTTACCTCATCTTTCCCTCCAGTACTTCCACTCGTCCGGCGGAGTGGCCTTCGTGGCAAAACTTGCAAAAGCAACGAGTAACCCTACCAGAGACCGCGCCGAGTAAAGCCTAAACTCTGAAAAGCAAAGTTCGCAGCTGAGGTGCAGGGGAGTTCCTGCGAACCTTCTCGGACGAGCTTCTCCTCGGCGATAGCAGCAATGGGCGTAGGCCAACTTTGCACTAGAAATGTGCCCTAGTACCTCACAGTCTCTTCCCCTCAATGTTGCAGAGCTGCATCCTGCAAACAGTAAAGCCAGACCCCACGTGCTGCACGATGTTGCAGCAGCACCGGGTGCGGGAATGGCACGTAGTGCAACCCTTCTTACAACCTAATGCGGCTTGACCCTGAACTTGCCATAAACCCTAAACCCTGAAGCCAGAGGGCAGAAATCCGGGGCATTGGCCTCATGCTGAAGTACCACTTTGGCAGTTTTCTTTCGCTGAAGATGTGTAGTCCGACGACTCGCCTCGATAGCCCAAGCTCCACACCGTCATTAGCTATGCCCTTGTGATATGGCATACTCCCCTGATTTGGTTCAAGAGGATCTTGTCTAGGTGTAGGACACATTGTCATAGTGTTGGCCAGCCTAGCTAAGGGTTCATCTGTAACTAGGAGCCGGATTTTCCCTTCATTCCCTTGTTAAGGTTTAGATTCCCATTTAAGCCCCTTGAAACCAAGAAGGGTACTTTTGTCTTTTTGTTCCTAGGTTACTCTTCGGTCTAGCCCTAACCCCCCCCTCCCACGAATGTTGAAACCCCCAACCCCCCAACCCTAAACAAAACCTACGGGCCTCAACCCTAAACCCTAAACCCTAAACCCTAAACCCTAAACAACCCTAAACCCTAAACCCCCAAACCCCAAACAAAGCCCTACGGGCCCAGGTACCTGGAACGAGCCATGGCGCGATCCAAGAACGACACCGGCATGGTTGTGTGGGAGCCTTGGGGCCGCTGTACCCGAAGCCCTTTCGGGTTTAGGGTTCAGGGTTTAGGGTTTAGGGTTTAGGGTCTAGGGTTTAGGGTTTAGGGTTTAGGGTTATAAACCCTACACCCCCATAGTCAGGGCTTCTTTGGGAGCCAGAGCATGAGGTCCCCGCTCTGCTCGGAATGAAGCCAAGCAGAAGCTACCCCGACATCCCAAACCTTGAACCCTATCATTGTGGGCATTATGGCCTTGAAAGCATCGGAATGGCTGATGGTTGATGTGGGCAACTTGCGTGCTTGAAGGCCCAGCACCATGGCCTAAAGCCTGAGGCCCTAAAGACCAATAACACCCCCATGAATATTGGTGATGTATTGGGTATCCTTTTAGGGGTACTAGTACAGCTCAAATGCTCAAACCCAAAACCGAACGTCTTGTTGCCCAAGCGTCAGATCACTCTTTAGATGAACCCTGGCGAACACTTCTCTAGAAGGGCTCGTCGGTTGGAAATCAATGGACTGTAAACTTTGTAGGCCTTGCCTACCTGCTCGTTTTTCCCCAATGAATGGGAGTACCAAGTCTAAACTTCAAACCCTAAACCCTAAACCCTAAACCCTAAACCCTAAACCCTACACCCTAAACGAACCTGAACCCATCCTACGTCCTAGACTTTGGATTTGGAAACGGGTCAGGGCTCGATGGGCAAGTGGCAGCAGCCAAATCGCTTTAGTTGGGGAATTCGGGAACCCTGCTACTCCGTAAATACACTTTACACATAATTCACATAATCCATTCATATACATATGTATGTATGTATGTATGTATGTGTGTATATATATATATTAAGTTAAGTGTTTAGGGTTTAGGATCTAGGATGTGTGTGTGCCTCTTAATTAGGGCATAGGCTGTTTGCAACTTCCTCAACCCCCGCGCTGCCCTGGGCTCAAAGGCAAGATGACAGGGTTTAGGGTTTAGGGTTTAGGGTTTAGGGTTAGGGTTTAGGGTTTAGGGTTCAGGGTTTAGGGTACAGCCCCCCCTTGAGTTGATAGGGTCAAGGTTTGCCATCTATGATCGACTTTGGGCGCTCATGTGGTGTGCTCAGGGTTTACGGTTCAGGGTTTAGGGTTTAGGGTTCAGGGGGCAACATCTATGTCAAGTCGACGTGCACCCTGCGAGTCCTTGAAACCCCAACCCTGAGCCCCATCGCCTGCACTTGGGCAGCATTTGTTCCGTTGGATGCATACCCAAGGACCTTAACAGGGCCTCAGGGAGCAAGGTTTTTCAACGCCAAGAAGATCTGTGAAATATCCTGAGACACATGCCTGGGCCTTGGGCAAACCCCGAGCGCCTTCAAATCAAGAAACCTAAAGCCACCTCACAGCCACTCTAAGATCTGAAAAAACCCTGACCTCCAACAGAAGTCCTCGTAAACAAACTTGGCCGCGTGGCTTCTCTCTGCCATGACGCTGTCAGTGTCCGTCACGCTGCTCAGCGGCCAGCTGGCCTCCATTCCGGCCATGGCCGACACAACAATCAGGACCCCCTTGAAATCCCACAAGTTTAGGGTTTGGGGTGTCGCAGGGTGCAGGGTTTGGAGAGCTGAGATGTGATGATCTCTAGGTTTTGTTGGAGGGGGGGGGGGGGCGAGGGGGGTGAAGTTATTGGTCCAAATGTTAGCAGACAATCTGAAACCTTGAGCTTTGCCTGAACTACAGGGTGTTGGATGCAAGGTCGTTTGGCACGGGCAGTGGCCTCGACAGCTCATTGTCCAAATCCCCTCCACATGAAACACTCCAGGATGAAGCAGAAGAGCTTAGCACAGTGTTGCCTCTGGTTTCCCTTGCGGCGTTTCTAGACTCCCGTATTAGACTGGCAACACCAAACCGGCTAGCCTTTCTACACCGAAGGCATCTCTTTCTACAACCCTAAGCCCTAAGCCCTAAACCCCAAACCCTAAACCCGAAACCCTACACCAAAACCCTAAACCCCAAACCCTAAACCCTAAGCCCCAAACCCCAAACCCCTAAACACCAGGGAGCTGAAGCTGGACGCGCAGAAGGCCTTGCAGACCGGCATCCGCAGTGCCCCATCTGACCTTTTGCTTCGGGACTGGGTAGGTCACCTTCAACCTTTTCTGGTTATCGAAGGATCCTGCTACATGTAAAAGGTTAACATTTTCTGGAATTCAGCCCCGAAGTTCTCTTGTTTGGCAAGTCGAGAGAGTTTTGGGCTTTTGCAGGCTGGATTTTACGAGGTGTTCTAGACTGTAGAATCTGTTTGAGTCGTTGTTGCAGTATAGTCTAATGCAGCTTAGCAGTTTGAACATGGGGCCGAATTTTCGATCAGCTCCGCCGCATAGATGCTCCTGCATGAATTGAGACTTCGTGGCGTGAACCCCCCATGTCGCTTGCAGCAGGAGATGCGACCCAACAAGACAACCCCAAACCCGTAAACCCTTACACCCTTAAAGCCTTATGCCCTAACCCTAAACCCTAAACCCTAAACCCTAAACCCTAAACCCTTACACCCTTAAACCCTTCTACCCTAAACCCTCCACCTAAGTTGCTTTATTGAAGCTGAGAAGAGAACCCCTCCGCGGGGGGGGGGGGGGGGGGGCGGGGGTCCTTCCAAAACTGCAACTCCTAGAACCCCAAGGCCCACACCAGAAAACCCTAGCCGGTGCTTCGTGTTGTACGAGGGAGTGGAGGGCTTCCTAAACCCTAAACCCTAAACCCTAAACCCTAAACCCTAAACCCTAAAGTACAATATGTGTCTCAATCATCCTGAAGATGTCACCCTGCAGTGTGGCTGGTCTGCTTGGTGGGTGGCCAAAACCCCAAACTCCAAAACTAAAAACCCCAAACCCTAAAACCCTAAAACCCAAACCCTAAAACCCCAAACCTCAAACTCCAAACCCTAAACCCTCAACCCCAGACCCCAAACCCCAAGCCCTAAACCCTAAACCTTAAACCCCATGAACCCAAAGAAGTGGATGCCTCCGAGGCTTGGTCGATGCCGAGAGGAAGGCCCTCCAGCTACCACATCTGAAGTTCTGGATTTAGGACTTTGGGGTTTAGGGTTTAGGGTTTAGGGTTTAGGGTTTGGGGTTTAGGGTTTCGGGTTTAGGGTTCTGGGTTCAAAAAACGGGTTTGGGGTTTAGGGTTTAGGGCTTGCGTAAGGGTGAAGGGTTTGGGGTCCGGGGTGTTGGGTGTAAGAATGGTCGAGCTTCCCAATGCTCGCCTTCATCAAGCCAGTGCGTTGAAGCGACCTATAGGGAGCACAGGGGTTTCGGGTTACCTTGTGGCTTTTATATGATCGAGGTCTAGGAGGGTTTAGGGTTACCTTGCGGCATAAATGATAAGAGTTTAGGGTTGCCTTGTGTGCGGAGACGTGTGTGAACACAAGCTGCAAAGGCTTGGCGGCACCGGTGGCCCAAAATCCTACAGAGTTTAGGGTTTAGGGTTTGGGGTTTGGGGTTTAGGGTTTAGGGTTTAGTGTCTGGAAGGGTACCCGAAGCTGTAAACGCTGCAACCCTGCATAGTTCCTTGACAGGTTTTTTTGGCGATAGAAGGCCCCAATAATTTCCGACTTCCTTTTCAAGAAGTTGGAAGCCTCGTCCTTCCTAGAGTGGCCTTTACAGTAACTTTGTGAAACCCTAGACTTAGACCCTGAAACTTAAATTATTTGCTGTATTTGCCTTTTGTGAGGTGCCAGGTTTGTAGTCTGACGCTCTCAAAGGTGAGTATATCTCTCAGTGAGCTCTTCGTAGAACCCCAGATTATGTTCTGAACGCCCGTACAAGCGCAAACCCTACTAAGACCCAGCAAGTTCCTTGGGGACCAAATGAACCCTAATTCTGGGATCATATATTCTGCTATGACCCCGCCTAGGGTACATGAACTTATTTCGTTAGGGCTTAGGGTTTGTGGTTTAGGGCTTGGGGTTTAGGGTTTAGGAACCACACACCCTGTTTGGGTCCATAAGCCGCAGGTCTTGCACGATGGATCCACGATCGGTGAGGTCAATCTCAAGGCATGGACTGGGAGTTAGGGTTTGCTTGCTTAGCCGATCGGTGGACTTCTAGTTTTTGGGCTTTTCTTATTTGATAGGAATAGTAAGTCTGACCATATGTTTGTTCCTTGGTTTTGGGAGAAGTAAGTTTAGGCTAGTTTAGGGTTTTGGATTTTTCGGGTTTAGGGAGAAAGGGGTTTGGGAATTTAGGGTTTAGGGTTTGGGGCAAGCGTGCTGCGCCTAGCAACCGGCAGAGTGCTACAAAACATGGGGTTGGTTCAGGAGGCTTTTGAGGTTGAGAGGTTGTGTTTTGATATTTTGCTTTGTTACGCGAAGAGCTTTCTATGCGAGGATGGAGATGTCATTACCGCCCTGGCTCGCCCGGTGGCCGTGTGGTCAAGCCCCATGGGAAACTTGGCACATCACTTCCATGCTGACGAGTTCTTCACAGGGAGTCGGGGAGTTAGGTACCTTATCTTCACCCGTGTAGCCCTTTTAAGAGATTACTTAGGGTACCTATCGCCCAAATTCCCCAGGCAGAACTACGAATCGTATCGCAGGAGGGTGCCTCAAAACACCCCAATCTCAAACCTTAAACCCTGCAACAAGCCCCAAACCTCTTAAAGTTCCTAAACTTTGAAGGCTTCGAGGCCCCTAAATCCTAAGCCCTATAAACGCCCTAAATTTTAAGCAGCCTTCAAAAGAGCTGAGGCAGCGCCTTTGCTGTCAGCCGCAGTGATGGCTTCGTGTTCACCTGGGGGCTGTCGATGCTCATTGGCGAGTTGAACACTAGGGTTTAGGGTTTAGGGTTTAGGGTTTAGGGCTTAGGGCTTAGGGCTTAGGGCTTAGGGCTTAGGGTTTAGGGTTTACATGTCATTCTTCATGGCCCTGAACTTGACGATGCTTGAAGCGCAGTACCAGGTAGGTACTTTTTTAAATAGCGTGCTTAGCCGGGCTCGCCTCAGCAAGCCCTGGTGGAACAGAAGACATCCAGCATCCCCACGTTCTGTGCCCCCCAAGCGTCCAGTGGCAGGGGTTTTGGAGAATAGGGTTGTGCCTTCTTTGGGGGGGGGGTTGCTCTAACCATGAAGATCATCATGTTTTGGTGTATACTAGGAGGTATTTGGGAGAATTCACTGTGATTGACGGAAAGGGGGTGAGAAGGATAGCAGCTCAAAATGTTGCTTCGTGCCTCCAACAAAGTGTGTAAGTAACCCTGTCGAATTTCGAGTGTGGTGGCTTCTCTGGACCCAACCCGTTTGAACGTTTTTCTGCGATGACTTTATAGGCACACTTTGCTTTTCTCTTGACAGACCAGACTATGTTCCCCGCAATGTGGCCTCTGTGTCAGCTAGGCAGGTGGCAAAAAAAACCTGAACCCCAAACCCTAAACCTTAAACCTTAAACCCTAACCCCTGAACCCTAAACCCTAAACCATAAACCCAACGCCCCCTACTCATCTGAGCCGCATCCCTCAAACTCAAAAGAAAGCCCCGAAGTCGGCTTGCAAAGACTGTCTCGCTAGGTACGGCGGCGACTGCAGCGCAGTGAAGGATCCTTGGGGACCACCCTAAACCCTAAACCCTAAACCCTAAACCCTAAACCCTAAACCCTAAACCCTAAACCCTAAACCCTAAACCCTAAACCCTAAACCCTAAACCCTAAACCCTAAACCCTAAACCCTAGACCCTAGACCCTAGACCCTAAACCCTAAACCCTAAACCCTAAACCCTGAACCCTACGGTTGGGATCGCATGCCCTATGCTGCTATACTGCCCAATTAGGGTATAATCACCCTTGAGTGGGGACTATACACCCTATGCTGCTATATAACCTCTTATTAGGCTACATGAACCCGAAACCCTTTTAGGGTTCACTTGGTTCCAAGGATGAGCTGTGGTATGTGAAGCACGTTTGCGTGGGTGACGGCGCCAGCGCGGCGATCCGCGAAGACGGGACGGTCATCACCTGGGGAGATGACACGGTGGGTGCTGACAGCTCGAGGGTGAAGGACGAGCTGCTATATCCCCCTTGGGAATCATTTTTTAGTTTTGTTTGTATAAAACCCAAGAGGATATTAAACATATTGTTTATTAAGGTTAAAAGTGTAGTATAGGCTGTACGACGTCGTCGACATCAAGGCTTCACACGCTGCTTTCGCTGCGGTGCGCAAGGATGGACAGGTGGTCGCGTGGGGTGCTGGGAATTTTGGCGGCTTGACACTGCTGGCAAAAGATAGGGAGAAGCTCTGCGACGTTCGGCAGCTCGACCTTTGGGACCAAAGGAACCCTAACAGGGTTTCTGGGCCCTAAACCCTAAACCCTAAACCCCAAACCCTAAACCCTAAACCCAAACTCCTGAAACCTAAGCCCTTCCAAACCTAAAAATGATCCCCATGCGAGGCAGCTTGAAGCCTCCTACGAAGCATTCGCGGCCATCTGCAGCGATGGGTCTGTCGCTGCATGGGGCGAAGCGCGCTCGGGAGGAGATTGCTTCTAGGAAGGCCCTTAGAGGTGATGTGCGTTTTTTTTTGGGAGGCCTTTAGAAGGGATATGCGTTTTCAATATGCTTTCCCTTAATATTGGGTTTAGGGTTTAGGGTTTTGAAGGCCCTAGAGGTGATATGTGTTTTATATATATATATATATACTGTCCCTTAGTATTGGGTTTAGGGTTTAGGGTTTTGAAGGCCCTTAGAAGTATGCGTTGTTTTCGATGTTGTCCCTTAATTCTTGGGTCTCAGAGGATCTGCTAGGTTAGGTTTTTTCCCCTTCATATTGGGTCGAAGAGAATCATATTTGGGGACATGTTTCAGAGGGTGGTTTAAGGGCCATCCAAGGCTTCCATCTTCGGAAACAGCTGACTGGTGTGACGCGGCTTTCCTCAACCAGCGCCGCCTTTGCTGCCGTCACCAAGAAAGGGCAGGTCCCCTTAGAATCCCCCGAACCAACCCTATAAGGTGCCTTTTTTAAGGGGTTATAGGGCATAATAGGCCTTTGTTGAGGGGTTATAGGGTAGAATAGGACTTTTTGAGGGGTTATAGGGCATACCAGCCCATGCAGGTCGTCACCTGGGGTGACTGCATGATGGGTGCCGACAGCTCGATTGTCCAGGAGAAGTTGCAGAACATCCACTCGGTAGAAGGTAGCAGGGGGGCCTTCGCTGCCTTGAGTAAATACGGGGCCGTGGTGACATGGGGCCCTGCGGCGTATGGAGGGGATTGCAAGAGGGTGGAGGCAGAGCTCCATGATATCCAGTTGCTCCGCGCCTCTGTTCGGGCCTTTGCCGCGCTGCGCAAGGACGGCCGTGTGATTCTGGGCCACAATTATTCAGCAAGTCCGGTTACGTGCCCAGAGTTGTGTTACTAGCTGCTGCCCCGTCGTTGCCAGGGGTTGCATAGAACTGCCCAGGATCACATGGGGTGATGCTGCGTTTGGAGGCAGCAGCAAGAATGTTGAGCACCTGCTCTTCGATGTGCGGCTCCGCTTGCATTCAGCGGTGGGCCTGCTTTGCTGTGCCTCCTTTGTTCAGCTATGTCAGGAAGGGCTTCGTAGAGTCGCATGAGTACAATGGTACAATAGTACAATCGTGTAAAGGTATAATGGTTTCATGGTATCACGGTGTACTTCATGGTATAGTGGAATAATACTATGTAGAATGCGTGAGTGAGTGATTGAGTGATTGAGTGATTGAGTGATTGAGTGATTGAGTGAGTGGTGTGCGTGTCTGTGTGTGTGTACATACAACTACATCTGGACCGCGGCTCGTTTGCGCGAACGTTTCCCATTGACATGTCGAGCCAGCTGCAAGGCAAGAACTCAGGGTTTGGGAGTCAGCGGCAGGGTTTAACTCAGGCAAGACATTCGAGCTTCCCACGCTGCTTTTGCGGCACTTCGAGCGGACGGTCGCGTCGTGGCATGGGGCGACGATTGTTACGGAGGCAACTGCGAGGATGTCGCAGACGAGCTCTACAGCACCATCGCCCGCAAGAATGGGAGTGTGTAGAGGGTTCACCAGTACCAGTATGACACCTGCCTTCTGCATATAGAAGGGGTTTTCAGGGCTTTTCGACTTCCGGCAGGTTGCCTCCCACGCCCACTCTGCGAACACCCGCAGGTGTGCAAGAAATCCATGCCTGCAAAGCCGCCTTCGCTGCACTTCGGGCTGATGGACTCGTCATCACTTGGGGAGATCCCGCCTTTCGTGGTGATACGGCCAAGATACATGAGCAGCTGCTAACTCCAGTATTTAAGGGGGCATAAGGCATAAGGCCTTGTCCACACCTGCGCAAGCGGGCGACCATGCGGCAAGGGGCCCTCTGCAACCTCTAAACCCCTAAACCCTACTTCCTTACTTACAGCCACGTAGATGAACTTTAAACTCTTGTGCTTTTCTTATTTTGTAGGAATAGTAAAATTTATCCTTTGCTATTCCTTGGTTCTTTGGAGAAAGTAAGCTTCCTTGGAGTTTTTTGTACGGATCGTCAGCCTCTGAAACCTGAAAGTTGCTCGGAAGGACCACTTGACTTGGTGCAGTACTTTCAAGGTTGGAGCTGGAAATCTCGCGGTTGAAGCACAGGGTCAGTAACCCTAAACCCTATGGAGTTCCGGTGCCCACAGCCAAATATGACTAATCCAAGTATGACGAATAGTATCCTGAGGAGTGAGGGCTTGTTGTGCATGTAAAACCCGAAGGGTGTTTTTCTTTTGTGGTCCTACGGGACTTGCAGTTTGATTGTCGCGTGTTCGTCCTGGGGTCCAACATGTTTTTTTTTTTTTTTTTTCGGGGGGGGGGGCACGTCACCAAGTGGTCCTTCTTACTGAACACGACACGAAACCCTTAACCTTAAACCTTTGAACCCCTATAAACCTGAACCTCTGAACCTAAGGCTTCTCTAAGCCAGCACGAGATCGCCCGATGAATTGTTTAAGGCCTCGTGCATCTGTTCGAACATCGGCTTTTAAGCCGTGAAGCGGCCACTGATGTTCCAAGATGGATCATGTGGGGGATTCCGAAAATTATGGCTTAGGGTTTAGGATTTAGGGTTTAGGGCGTGTGGGCTACCGTATCTTCGGTTGGGATCCCTCCTAGCGGGGGATTCTACTAGACATTGGGGCAAGAGAGGGGGGGAGGTCCCTTATTTTGGAAACTCCTGTAGTGTAGGCTTGGTTGCCATATTCCTGGCTTCCGAAACTCGCAAAGAGCAGGCCGACACTTGGCAAAGAAGGGACTGCATCAGATGGATCCCTTTAGATCCCCAAAACCTGGTACGCAAACCCTAAACTCCTAAGCCCCCCTATTCCCTGGACCCCCACCATTCTGCGACCCTAAACCCTAAGCCCTAGACTCCTAAGCCTCCCCTTCTCCCCCTAGACCCCACGATTCTCTGGCGTGGACCTGGCATCGTGTGTTGGAACTAAAGCAGTCTCCGGCCCTTCAGGCTTGAGTCAAAAGCGATCCCGCACGACCCCGGGGTTTAGGGTTTAGGGTTTAGGGTTTGGGGTTTAGGGTTTAGGGTTTAGGGTTTAGGGTTTAGGGTTTAGGGTTTAGGGGTTGGGGTTTCGGGTTTAGGGCAGCAGGGCCGACACGTGCACTCTAGACTCTAGACCCCAGGCACTAAACTCTAAACCCCTCTGATAAACCCCAATGCCTAAGCTTAAAAACCTGACCCCTAAACCCCCATGCGGCCCGAAACCCTACACGTCAGACGATTATATTCTTACATGACTCTATGATCCTGTTAATATTGACATTAACATTATACGATTTTATTCTTATATTCTTGAATTATCACATTGTTTATGCCTTATGCCTTAAACAGCCCTAGTTGTCAGACCCAGGCCGCTGACCTGGGAGGCCAACTTCCCGCAGCGACGGTCCTGTGAGGGGGCCGAGGCCGGCTTTTGGTGGGTTTTGGGTTTGGGGTCTGGGGTTTAGGGTTTAGGGTTTTGGGTTTGGAGTTTACCTTTGAGTTGCGGGGGATTGGGGAATGTCTGGGTTTGGGGATTTTGTTTTGTTTGTGTGCTGGTTTTGTTGGGGGGGGGGGGGGGTTCTGGGCTTTGAGTTGGGTTCAGGGGTTGTTTGCAGTGTTTCAATGTTGCCGCCCCTCTCCCACCCACCCTTTTGCTTGACCTTTAGGGCCTTAGGGGGTTTGCTTCGGTGTTCGGGGCTTTCGGCTAGTTGGTCATGTGTTGGCGTCCATGCTATGCGGTGGTGGGCTATGGTATCAATGGGTTCGATTCGAGACATGGGGGGTTTACGAAAAAGGTGCCCCTAATATAGTCCCCCCCAAAGAGTAGGATTCCCTTATCATAAGGATCCCAAGAAGCTGCCCCTAATTTCGCAAATCCGCAAATGACGTACATCTGGGTCATGTGCTGTCCGGATTTGCTGTGCTCGCTGTTCCTGGGGGCTTCGGCTTTCCTGTTTTGGGGGTTAGGAAGGGCTTTAGTGACTTCAAGGGCAGCTGACAGTCCCCACTCTGCGAGGGAGAGGGAGACAGTGAGAGGGTGAGCGGGTGCTTAAGGGCTTTGGGTTGGGATGTTCCTCCTTAAGTCGGGATTATAACAAGGGGGGGGGGGGAGATACTCTAATCCCTATTAAGGACTGTTAGTATAAGGGGGAACATCCAAGCAAGTTTATTATCGATAGGTTCCCTTCTCTCTTCTTTGGGGCCCTCTCGAGGTCCTGGAGCCCGATACCACGCGCGATTCTCTGCCTGTGGCATTGCAGAAGCGCTACGTGCCTTGGCTCGGCCTAAAGAGCTGGCAGAAAGTGGTTTCGGGATTAGGGTTTAGGGTATAGGGGGACATTGTAGGGGCTCTTAGGGGCGTTGAGGACAAGGGCTCATGAGGGTGTTGCAGGGCTGCTCAACATAAGGGCGGTTATAGGGTTGGGAAATGGGAAGTTGATGGTGTTTCAAGTGTAGGGTTTCGCTTTCGTCCTGCATCCTTTTCTATACCTTAGCATCGCGACAAGGCCCGTCCAAGAAGTCGCCTATGCTTGAGGGTTTGGAGTTTAGTCATCGAGTCTTGTAAATAGTTACAAACATGTAGTAACACTACTATGTGTAATAATCATAGTAGCCATGCAAACGAGAAAAGTAATGTAAGGGACCGCTTGCGGCAACAAAAACGCGCCAGGTCATGGGGCAGTCGGGAGCCCCAGCGGAGTGGTTTAGGGTTTTTACGGTTTTGGGTTTTAGGGTTTAGGGTTCTTTTCGTGGTGGTTAGGGTTTAGGGTTAAGTCCTGGGATAGAACAGGGTCTGAGGGAATTAGCAGGGTTCAGGGTTTAGGTTACAAAAGAGCAGGAGACACGGAATGCAGTTCGGAGGTCGGTTGAAACAGCAGAGGTCATTCGGTTGAGGAAGGCCCTGTCGAACCGTAGTCTCAGAAATGTTTAGGGTTTAGGGTTTAGGGTTTATAGGGTTTAGGGTTTAGGGTGAGCTGACTGTGCCTGCAGGGTCGACCAGGGCTGGGAACACCCCCTGTCACGCTAAACCCTAAACCCTGCCGTCAGCTACGCGGGTGGGAAATAACGGCCTGAACCCTAAAACCCTAGGTTTAGTTCCCCGATATCCTCCGCCCACCCCCGCCACCTTGGTTTGAGGGTTTAGGGTTGAACTGTTGCTGTCGTGGAGCGATGGTGCAGTCGCATTCCCGTCTCAGGCAGTTGCATAGCACGCCCCACACTTCACAAGCCCTGATCCCCTCAGTAGAGTGCACCCCGTCCACTAGCCTTCAAGCTAGGCTCAGGCCCCCAAAAATGAATGTTTTGGACCGCCCGCACAATTGGGGAGTAGGACTTCTGTTGTGGGGGGGCCTACACCAATCATGTCCTAAACTACCCTAAACTCTGCCCTCGCCAGGACCGAGCTGGACTTCCTTGTCAAGGAATCCTTGAAGTCAGCGCCGTGGCCAGGTAGAGCACCATCCTCTTGAATTCTTGCACGAACACCCGAGACATCTCTTAGGGTTTATGCTTGAGGGTTTGGTCCCCTTTTTTTGCGGCGTTGAGGCTTCGTCGTTTTGTTGGGAGGGCTGGCGCGGGCGGAGGGGGAAGAGGTTCTTCTCGTGCTTGTGAGGGCTCTTTGCACTTGCAGGAGCAAGTTGATTCGCAACACGGTGCCAGTGTGTTACGAAAAAAGCAGCTCCACCCTCAACGAAGGTGCAGCTCCCCTACCGCCTGGATGATGACGACCTCTGCCTGAATTCATGGTGGTTGGAGTGCGGGCACTGACAGCTTCTTGGGCTCATTCAGGGTTTTTTAGGGGCCCTGCCTTCAATAGCCACACCCAGCCACAGATTCTGAATCTCAGCCCTGAACCCTATACTTTATGAAGGCTAAGGTTCTACTCCCTGCTTCCAGCTGCGAAGCTATGTTGCAGCCTGGTGGTAGTGTTCTGAAAACCCGGAGCCTAGTGGCCTTGAATGTATCCTGACAGTGAGGCCTGCCTACGGACCTCATGATTATGGGCTTGCAGGCTTATAGGCCACCTGTGCCCTTCCTTCTAGCATTGTCACAGAATAAAATATGTTCAGTTGCCAAGTGTGGAGGAAGAGCGCGCCTACCACAAGATCATGCACGAGGTCTCCCTGTCTCTCGGTCCTTGTCTCTCACTCTCTCCCCCTCTCTCTCCCTCCCTTTCCCGCTTTCGGATAGTGTGTGGGAGTTGGGGCTTAGGGTGCTTGAAGCTATAGTGACGGATAGCGGTTCCAAGGGCATTCTTGACTAATCCTAAGTCCAAGAACCGTGGGTTTGCAGTCGGATTCGGATCGTGCGCATTGACCATGAAAGCTTCCAAGATCAAGGCAAGGACAACACTTAAATGCCAGCATGGCGTAAGGATTCAGATGTAGTTATTATACCTTTGCGAAAGCGCATCAGTCTAAGGAAGAACACGTCACCCAGATGCCTTCCAAGCGGCCCAACCCCACGCCCTTCACTGTGGCAGAGTGCAGGTTTAGGGTGTAGGGCTCGCTCAGGGTTCAGGGTCTTGCAAGTTCATGCGTCCTTCAGAAGTAGCTTATAAGTAAGGTAACTGTAGTTTTGTTATAACCTTATTTCGGGCATTTGTAACCCCGGCCCTACTTCTGAGCACCCATGAACCTCCGAGTAGGGTTTAGGGAATGCCAAAACCATACCTGGACCTCTAAACCCTAAACCCCAGACCCTAATCATCAAATCTCCACATGCGGAGGTGGTCTTCCTACTGGGCCGATCGGGATCCGGCAAAACCAGTGTGCTGGTTCATGCACTCTTCCGTCGGGCTCTTGGCTCTTGGGGGGCCGTGCTATAGTTATGCATTCTAGGGTTTAGGTTTAGGGTTTAGGGCACTTCCGGGTAGAATCGGCTGTGTTTCGTCATGCTTTCGGGTGCCCAGCCTTCAGGCATGTTAGGCTGCTAGCTGCTAGACGCTAAACTTAATGAGGTTGAAAGTTGAAAGGGTTTGAGTGGACAATTGCCTGTGGCTCTGTTTCACGTCTTGCACTCGGATCTTACAGGAGAATTTGAAGGGTATGGGCTAGTCATGACTGTATGACTTGTAGCTGCCAAAGCCCTGGTGTTGTTTTGTTTTTGTTTCGCATTTCGCGGCTTCATATGGGGGGTTTCCGAAATAAGGGGTACCTTATGGGGGGTCCTTAATAATTATTGTACAGGAATCCTACTATTTGGGGGTCTTTTTTAGGGGTCGCCCTATGTTCGTAAACCCCCTATGAGCCACCACCGGCACGAGGTGCCAGCTGCGAAGAGTTCCAGAGACGAGTGGGTCGCCCGAGCGGCATTTGTTCTTCTTTAGTCTTGCTACTAGGATGCTTTCAAATGATTGCGCTTTATTTCATGGTGAAACGTAATGTTCGGATGAGTATGACCAGACGTTTGATTTTGTTTCTGAGTTTATGTTGAGAACTTTTTAGGGCTGAGGAGAGGGCACGCCCAATCGTGGCGGCCAGAAGTTCGGTTAGGGCAGGGGTTTTGGGGTTTGGGTGGGGTTTAGGGTTCATGGGATTGAGAGTTGTCGGGTGGGTTTTTTGGGTTTTCGGGTTAAGGTCTTCGGATCCGGGGCGTTTTTTCGGGTTCAGGGTGTATGAGGCTTAGGGTTTCGGGTTAAGGGCTTAGGATCCTACATATTTGGGGCGCAAAATCAAGGGCCTAATTGGTCTGGAGGAGCCTGCTTCTTGAATCCATGAACACCCCAGACTCAGGCCGACAACCGACGCCCTGTGCTTGAGATCATCTTTTGCACGTCGGGCAGTTCTCTAAATAGAGTCCCTTTGGGGATGTCCTAAGAAGTAAACGCTCCGTATGACCAGAGGAACTCAAGACAGGACCGTAAACCCTCAACCCTTAACCCTCAACCCCTCAACCCTAAGCCCTTAACCCTCAACCCCTCAACCCTAAGCCCAAAGCCCTAAACCCTAAACCCTGCTTCTGAGGGCTGCCCGTAAAAAATCCGTAGCTCCAACGCCCCACCCCAGACCTCAAATGTGTTAAGATTGGGTTTAGGCTTTAGGGTTTAGGGTTTAGGGTTCGTGTGGCCCCACCCTTTCTTGGTGAGTCGAGAATCCCTGGGTTCTGGGTTGACGGTTTTGGGTTTGGGGTTTAGGGTTTAGGGTTTAGGGTTTAGGGTTTAGAGGGCTGAGCGACTGGAGGTTGACAGGACCCTGAACGATGAAGGTACCGAGTTAGTTCAAAGCCATTCGCGGCTGTCGTGAGAACAGCGCCGGTGAGGCGAGAGCATGTTTAACAAGCCTTTGAATGAGGTACCCCTCAACCCTCAACCCTCAACCCTCAGCCCTCAACCCTAAACCCTAAACCCCAAACCCTAAACCCTAAACCCTAAACCCTAAACCCTAAACCCACCCATTGTCGTTGAACCCCCTCCCCCCCCCCCAAAAGCTAGAGCTGCCCAGGGCAAGCAGAAGACGAAGACCAAACCGTGCTCCTTCTGCCGCTTTTCAAGCAAGCAGTCAGCCTACTTGGAGGCTCACTTAGAACCCTAGTATAACCGTACTTATAGCCCCCCCTAAGTCCCTTAAGTGGGTTACCCTAAACCCTAAACCCTAAACTTATATCAGGGTTTTTCGGGTTTAGGGTTTAGGGTTTCAGGTTGTGGGAACAATGCCGCTCAGCGGGTTCAAAAAAGGAAGAATGCCGCAGTAGAGAATAGAGAACCTGACAGTGCCACAATTCCGGTCAGCCACCACAGGTCCTTCCAAGTAATCGGAGGGTTGAGTACCACTTGTTCCATCTCCTAGGGCACAGCAGGTGACCTGACGTTCAACTAGAGTAGCAAGCATGCGAAATCTCGCGAAAGGCGGAATGTCATAGCAAAACCTGACCCGCAGTCCGCAGGATTCTGCAAACCACGTCGATCCCCAACGGAAAAACATCAAATTTAGCTTGGAATTCAACTTCTGGGGTGGTGGTGCTGTTAGGATGCTTCGGGTTCGGGTTATGAGGTGATTAACCTCCTCTCTCAAAAACATACTGGACTGAAGCCCGCAAGTGGGTTATTACTCTATTTAGGGTCCTTACAGCCCTATTTGTAAGTACCCATGAATCTCCCACCCCTAGGCCCTAAACCCTAAACCCTCAGTATCATTTTTCGCCGAGGTTGGTCACCCGCTCCCCGGTCCTGGCTGCCACTCTGCTGCTTCAGAGGGCAGATCAGGGGATGAAGACTCGTACCCCTAAGGTCAGGGTCAGACCCGGGCGTTTGCCCGCGCTTTTTTGGGGAAATGTGTGTTTTACTCGAAAACAACGTTTCGCAGGTTTTGGCTAGGGGGTTTTCGACATGAAACTTCGAAGTTCCGTGTTGAAGGTTTGGGGAGTACAGGCCAGGTTGGGGAGCATCAGCAAGCACAGCAGAGGAGAGGAAGGTCTAGTTTACTCGAGACAAACAGAGGTTTTTTAGTTTTCCACTTCAGGAGTGGTTGTTTCATTTGTGTGAGCATGTCTCTTTCCTACATCTTGAATGGTGGCCCAAATGTCATTTTTTGGGGGGTTTCCACGGGGTTGGGGCAGAAAGTTGAGGCAGAGTAGAGGCACGGTAATTTTTCGTCTCGCTGGCACAGAGCAAGAAGTACCGAGCACAAGTGTACAGGACTCCTCTTCCCCTAAACCCTGAACCCTAAACCCTTTGCAACCCCAATTCGCATTCGAAATGTTGTTCACACAAATGAAACAACCACTCCTGAAGTGGACAACTCAAAAAACCTCGGTTTTTTCGAGTAAACTAGACCTTCCTCTCCTCTGCTGTACACTTGTGCTCGGTACTTTTTTTCTCTGTGCAAGCGAGACGAAAAATCACCGTGCCTCTACTCTGCCTCAACTTTCTTCCCGAACCCCGTGGAAACCCCAAAAATGAAATTTGGGCCCCAATTCAAAATTAGGGAAGAGACATGTTCACACAAATGAAACAACCACTCCTGAAGTGGAAAACTAAAAAAACATCGGTTTTTCTCAAGTAGACTAGACCTTCCTCTCCTCTGCTGTGCTTGCTGATGCTCCCCAACCTGACCTGTACTCCCCAAACCTTCAACACGGAACTTCGAAGTTTCATGTCCAAAATCCGCTTAGCCGAAACCTGCGAAAACCTGTGTTTTTTCGAGTAAAACACGCATTTCCCCAAAAAAGCGCGGGCAAACGTCCGTGTCCTAGCCTAAGGTCAGGGATACTTGGAAATATTTTTTCTTTTTGGGCACTTTAATTCCTAAGAAACAGCTAGAATTGTATTTTTTGCCTCCAAGTTCAGTACAGTAAGGTCGTAACCCTAAGGTTCCCCTGAATATCCTCCATGGCCCTTATATTCTTGTAGGGATCCTGAAAAAGGGGACCCAAAACCCAAGGGCACAACCTGAAGGGTCCAAGGTAGAACCCCGAGAGCGGAGAGGTATTCGGGGTTGAGGCTGGAATCTGTGCTGCATGACCGGAACTCCAGTTCTGGGAACGTGTTCATGGGGAGTTTCCCTGAAATGGTCCTATCACAATGTCATTCTTCACATGTGCGGAGCTTCAGTTCGTCGCCGTCTGACTTGCGCGCCTCAGAGCAGTACGCCGCCGCATGTTTCAGTTTCGACTAGGAGAGGAAGCCTAAGTGCCACATTGATGCTTTCATACTCAGTTCTAGGAGCTGAAGGTTGCGAAACCTGAGCTGCCTTGTGCTCTCTCTTTACATTCTCTATGCTCAGCTGCTACGCAAGCTTCTTTTTCAAAGCCCAAGCTGAAGGGTTCTG